CCAGATTATTTCTTTTTCTGCTTTGCAGGATATGGTTCCCTCTGTGAAGAAAGATATTGGTATCTGGGGAAATTACAAAGCATTTTCTTCAACAGCAACATCTACATTATTTTTAAAATGTCACTATTGCTATCACTCACTTCTAAAGTACAGTTTTCTAATATTAATTTAAGATCAGAGTAATAGTTAATGAATGTTCAAAATCATGGGGTTTTTAAACAAATGTAACAAATCCTAATGTAGAAAGATGATTTATATTTAACCTTTTCAAAGCAATAGGATTAATTTGGCATCGAAATTGAAAGAGCTGATACAAAGGTGATGAAAACAGTTTCAGTCATGTCACTTGTTCAGTTTGATTATTCAATGATAAATATTTTAATTGCTAAACTGTTTTTCTGAGATTGGTTGTGGGAAGGCTACAGTTGTCATAATCCTTGACTATTTGGCTACTTTGACCAAAATCTTATTGTAACTGCAGAATACTTACAGTAGGATTTTGTCAATTAAAAATCAATTATTCCATTTCAGCTTAGAAAATGTTACCTAACTATTTATATGCCTTTTTTAAACAAACAAACAAACAAACAAACCCTCATTTAAGTAGTTTTTACTTAATTAAATAGGGTACAATTAACTTATAAACAACTGGAACATATGGAAAACTGTAATCGACATAGAAGAGCATAGTGCTATAAAAATTAAGTCATCTACAAACATGCAGAATTTATTAATGGCAAATTTCCCTTTCCTATCGTGTATTCTGTGTTGCTGAGTTACTGTGAAATTATAATGAAATCCTGCTGTGAAGTGGTTATCAAACACAAGGAGGAAAAGGTTTCACTGCTTTACAAAGGATTTGCTGTTAATTAGCTTTTGTATACATACACCGTCAACAAAAAAAGAAAGCTTGGTATTTGTAAAAGGTGATGCGAAAGAAGAAATGTGCTTTTGTTCAACTGGAAGAAAAGATGAAGAGCATTAATATATGCACACAGTTTTACCCCACCATTTCTCTGTGGGAAAGACTTGGCTAATTAGTTCCTGGTTAGTTAAAAGGGGATATGTGAAAATGAGGGGGACCATTATTTAGTGTATAAATCAATACATACATCTGATTAGAGAAGGAAGTATTAAAACATTGTTTCCCTATGCTGATTACATCTGCCACATTATGATTCCTTATCTACCAGAAAAAGAAAAATGGTTCCCTTTCATTTTATGGATTCTTTTGCTCTTAATTATACCTTGAATGCTTGCTGTGAAAGCTGAAATGTTAGCATTTTTCCGAAATATAGTCATGAATTAGCTCTTCAGTTGGGCTGCTAGGCTTTGAATATTGTATCAGTTTCTGGCTCAAGATATTTCATCTGGTACATAAATTAGGTTCCAGGTACTTACTATACATACCAGGCAATAGTTATGTATGACCTCTATACGTTTCATAGGACTAAGGCATGCCTAGTAGCGAAAGACGAGTACTGTGACAAAAGATCTCAGGTGGCAAAACTTAGGAGTGTGCCTCCTGGATAGAATCATGTCTAATGGTCTCATAGGGCAGTCATTTTAATATATTCATTGTATCAGCAATGACAGCCCTGGGCTGGCTGGCATGGAAGCTAACCAGGACCAGCCGGATTAGTCCCCAAGTAGGAGGTCTCCAGGCAATTTCAGTGCTGAAGCTATTCTGGGAAGTTGAAAATCACCCTGGAAGATGGCAAGGGCCAACTTCTCCCATCCTGTGGCCAAGTAAGCAGCTCATGAAATCACTATAAAGGGAGACTCTAGTTCAAATATGCACCCCTCATTCATGGACAAGAGTGGAAGAAAACTTATAGGTTTGCTTTGGAAAATCCTACATAGCAGAGGTATTATCCTTCTTTCTTCCTATTTATTTTCCTCTTTCCTCTTTAGAACCAAGCCTTGGTTCCTCAGTTGAAAGAATAAAGTAGAGTGTTTGAACTTTTGACTTTAAGCATGAGGCATCATTGGGCTTGCCACCACTTAATTGGTTTGGGCAGTTTATGATAAAGTGAAATATGCTCACTCTTCCTTTATGTTAAAAAGTATATTTTACAGTAGAAAGATTAATCAACTATTTGTTTCCACATCCCTTGTTATAGCACTGTACAATAGGCAAGTGGCTGATAAGTTAAGAGTGAAATATTGGATTGATTCATTTCCAGACATTAAGGAAGCAAACATTATTAGATTATGCAGTGATTTGGATTAAAAGAGGGGAAAGTGAATCTGCTCTTATAGTTCTCTTGAAAATCATTTAAGAAAAACAGCTTTTCTTCCTGATTTTGCACAATTCTACTGTACAAAATGATTAATTTAGTTCAAGGAGATGCCACTATGTCAATACATACTCTCAATTTCTTTTCTCCTTCAAATTCTCATTCATACCTAATCAACAAATGACTATCATTTTGTTAAGTTTTATTGTCTCAGTTTGTCTTCTGGTACCAACTGGTAATGTATACTGGGAGGACATAATGGTAGTTCTGCAAACAAAGTCCTTGCCTTAACAGCAATTACACTATATGGTGTTGAAGATTATATTTTGAGCCTCTTTAACTTCTATTAATATATCTAGGTAAAATAATTTAAAATGAAGTGACATATACTACAGTTCTCCTTTTCATTAAATTCAGAGATGTTGAATATGTGTTTGAAACCAAGCACGGGCCATAGAAGACTATGCATTTTTGAGTGAAGACTTGGACTGCAAAATTCAAAACAGTCTGCAGTGTGAAGGCAGATATGTGATGCTTTCTGTGCGGACATTCTGGCTATTAAAAAATCCCTTCATCACTATAGTATTCATCAGTTCAGTTTTTTCATGATTTTCAAATGATAAGTGATAATAAAGCTCATTCCCAGTACAGTTAAAATGATCATTCCAAAAATGACCATAATAAATGCATGGCAAAAGCTTGGAACAGCTAGTAAGTGGGGAACACAACAATAAGCAAGCTAGAAGCCATCTGCCAACCTACCAAAGATTGACAACTAATTCTGGCACACTCTCCGTTCCTCTCTTCTTTTCTCTTGGAGTGTGCTTCCAATGCTGGTTTTAGAGCTGATAAGTCCATTTTCTGCCAGTTGTTCTGTAAGAGGGAATTCTTTACTGGCAAAAATGGGAACACATCTTGCTCCTTACTATTGATAGCTAATAGGAGATTATTCCTGTATTATTCTACTTCTTCTGTTCCAAGTCTATATATTAGCATGGATCTATATATATATATATTAGCATGGATAGTACAGTTCTTCTGTGCCTTCAAGCGACATCTACTGTATATATTCCTGAACAATAGTGAGAAATCTTATTAAATAAGCATACTAAAATCATAAATCTAATTCCCATTCATAAATATCAACTTTCTACTCATTTTAGTAAGCTCCTAGCCTGATTCTATGCTCAGAAGTAAGCCATCATGACTTCAGTAGGACATATTCCTTTTGCCCATATCTGCAAGCCTAAGCAATAATTGTAATTATATATGTGTTCCATTGAGTGGAACAATGTCCTAGAACTGAAATGTGTTGTTTTCTCTTCCTGGGTCAAATAATCTTTTACATAATCTTTAGTAATATACTGTATTAACAAAGTTCCTGGGTAGGGACAGGAACAGTTAGTTAGTTAGTTGGGCCAAAATAAATATATTTTAACAATGCCCATCTATATATGGTTTTCTGCTGATCTGAATTTATTCTGTTAATATGCAATTTAGCCTCAGGATCAAAATGTGTCATAGAAGTACATTTGTATTTTTGATCAAAATTGTATGCTGTAATATGAGACAATACTAATTTGATTCAGCAGGTGAGGCATTTTAGAGGTGCTGTCAGCCAAGGAATGTCAGCTGGTGGGGACAGGTGACATGCCTTCTCTGTCATAGATCTGCTCTCTGAAACATTTTCCCTCCCAAAATCAGGATAGCTCCAGCCTGATTGCTTTTTAGGGGATTGTGAAGACTTGGTGGTATGCCCAGACCTGAGGTCCTGAGTGTGTTAAGGCCTCCATTTCTTAACCTCCATGGCAACAGTTTTACATGTGTGTGTGTGTGTTTTATGATATACACCACCCAGAATCACTTAAGATAGGTGAGTATAAAAATAAATACATAAATAAATAAATAAAAATACCTCTCAAGAACTATCAGATAATTAAGACAATTCCTTCAATATTTTCAGAAACAACTATTATATCTAAATACAAGTAATAAAAAGAACTACATTTTACAAGATGATGTTGATCTAAAGAAAAAAAAAAGATCAGCGGACATAAGGTTAGTGTAGAATATTTGAGACAGAAAATCACATTAACCAGTTTGATTAGTTTGGGCCATATAACCAGAAAGGATCCATTCTATTTTTCAAACTCAACTTCTGGAAATCATCTGGATAAGTCCTTGCAGTTGTCTTGGCAAGATATCAGAAGTGGTTTGTTTTTGCCTGTTTTCTAGGGCTGAAAAAGAGTGACTGGCCCAAGATCACTTAGCTGGCTTTGTGTCTAAACCAGAACCAGAACTCACTGTCTCCTGGTTTCAGGTCTGATAGTTAACTACTACACTAGGCTAGTTCTCATGAGGAATATTTATACATTTATTTATACTGGTGCTGTTGCAACAAGTTTTGTTCCACCTTCCTCCCATACCAGGTAGAGTAGTTTGAATACAGGCTATGGAATCTCTTAAGGACTCCAGCCTGCCTTACACAATCTTCATTTAAACCTCCACTAAAAATATATTTTTAATATTCAGATTCCAAAAGAATCATGAAAGCATGTGGGAACTGCAATTTTATGTTTGAGGGTGCATGCTTAAATTTATTTAATTCAGTAAGCGTCAATAGTATAGAAAGTAGCCCAAAAAGACTTGAATGGATGAATACAAATTTAGGATCCTACTCACTAAACTGGGTAATGCAATTATTCTACTCCTTACAAAGAAAGAACAAAAAGAACAAAAAGTTGGGATGGCTGATGTTACCTAGCGTGCTGGAGTAATGTGGACTGGCGTGTCCACGGATAGTAAATGCAGTCATGCCTAGTGGGGCCTCTACACCTGCAGGCAATTACAGAACAGAAAAGATCATTCACTATTCACAGGGGCCATGCACACACAAGCACCTTTGCGCACACATGGAACATGGGAGGTGTGGCAAGAGGAGCAAGTGCTCAGCAAGTACCTATCCATGAAACCAATGCAGTCCTCGAGGCGTGGGCCTATGCACCTGCAGCGAATCCAGGTAAAGGTGGGGGAAGGGAGAAGAGAGAAAGAGAAAACATGCATTAGGCATTTTATAGGCAGAATCACTATCATCATCATCATCCCCCTTTCATTTTCCTTGCTCCAAATAGTTACATTACAATATTCCCTCAATTGTCATGAAGCCATTGCTTCAAATGTTTTTCAGTTCAAAATGCCTCGTGTTTGCTCTGCTGTTTATAAAATTGCAAGGCTAAATCACTGTGGATACAAATTGTGATTCTTCAGTTACTTACCTCAGTACAGATAATTGTGGATTTGTGTAAAAATGATCAGAGCCAAGTTTCACCTGCCAAGGCAAGGATCTACATGGTACCTTAATACAATGGCCCAATAAATTCAATCATTACTGACTATAATACGGTTATGGCTTAAAAGATAACAATTAACATTTTCTCTTCAAGGGGCATAACTATCATTCTATCAAGACTGGATAAAAAGTAATTATATTCATCCAATGTGTGTGTTTATTGATTGATCAATTGATTGATCACATTTATAATACTACCAAACTCCATTAAGTACTCTGTACAGCATAAAACATTTAAAATAGTAAGAAACAATATAAGAAAGATAAGAAGTGTCTCTGTGTCAAGAAAAATAAAATCATCATGTAAAATGATATCAAAGGCTCACCACACACACTAACCGAAGGCCTGTGGGAAAGCCAGGTTATGAAGTGCTTTTTGAAGATAGTCCCACACAGCTCTATGGGGGATATTGTTACAGAGGGTAGATGCTGCAACAAGAAAAAAGCCTGCTTCCTTGCCCTCATCAGATGATATGATTTAATGAGCATGATGCAAACCAACTCTTGTTGGATTGTATAGGACAGGCAGAAACGATCAGAGATATGTAGTCATTCAGGCAGCCAGGTTCTATGGGTAAAGGGTTTGTGGTAACCCAGCAACTTGAATTGCATCTGAATTCCTAGCTAGCTAACTGGTAACCAATGCAGTTCATGAGCAACAGTGTTACACAGGCATTGTCTGGCGCACCCATTACAGTGATGGGTTGCTACCAGTTCTCACCAGGTCGGGCGAACTAGTAGCAGCAGCAGCGGGAGGCTCCACCCACCCGCCCGGATGCTTCTGCGCATGCGCAAATGTGCTGTGTGTTTCCACGAGTGTGCACGCACAAGTGAACCAGTAGTGATGGGATTTGGAACCTGCCCCTTACCTATTATTGTCTGCATTGATGCATACTGGAGCAGCTGCAGCTTCCAAGGGATCTTCAAGGGCAATCCCATGTACAACACATTGCAATAGTCCACATGTGAAGTGACTAAGGCACAAATTATTGTTTTGATAGGTGGCCTCTCCAGTCCAGGAGCAGGCATAGCTAACATACAAGATGGATCTGTACAATAGATTTCTTGGCAAGAGCTGTCACCTCACTTTTGAGCACAAACTAGAAAAATCTCCAGATTATACACCACTCCTAAATGGGGAAAGGCAAAGCCGTCCAAAATTAAATACTCACAATGGCTCAAATGCTAGGGTTGAGTCTGAGTCTGTTCCTATCCATCCTGATCCTCATAACCTCTAGACCAGGGGTGAGTCGTTAATTTTCCCAAGGGGCCACATGAAAACCTGGGTCTGCCACTACCCCCACTTCCCGACCACAGGTTGGACAGGGATATACAAATGTGGCCCACAGCCTGTAAAATGGTCAAGTCTGCTCTATTTATTTATTTATTTATTTATTTATTTATTTATTTATTTATTAAATTTATATACCGCCCTATTCCTAAGGGACTCAGGGCGGTGAACAGCGAACGATAAAAATACATTTAATATAAACGTTAATAAAAAACCAATTAAAATATACTAAACACTCTGGTCCTAGATAATTCAAGACATCCCAGTTTAAAATAAAATCAAAAAGCAATATAAAGGGAAAGTTAGGCCAGGCCGGCCTGCTGAAACAGGAATGTTTTGAGGGCACAGCGGAAAGTGCGCAGATCCGGAATCTTCTGTATCTCTGGAGGGAGCTCGTTCCAGATGGTGGGTGCCCTCACAGAAAAGGCTCTCCCCCTGGGGGCCGCCAGTCGACATTGTTTGGCTGACGGCACCCTGAGAAGCCCCTCTCTATGGGAGCGTACTGGGCGGTGAGAGGCTATTGGTGGCAGAGGGCGGTCTCGTAAGTACCCCGGTCCTAAGCCAAGGAAGCGCTCTAAAGGTGGTAACTAAGACCTTGAAGCGCACCCGGAAGACCACAGGGAGCCAGTGCAGCTCGCGCAGGAGGGGAGCCACATGGGAGCGCCATGCTGCTCCCATAACTACCCGCGCGGCCGCATTCTGGACCAGCTGGAGCCTCCGGGTTCTCCTCAAGGTGAGCCCCATGTAGAGAGCATTACAGTAGTCCAGGCGTGAAGTGACGAGGGCATGAGTGACCGTATTTAACGCGTCCCGATCCAGAAAGGGACGCAACTGGCGAATCAGGCGAACCTGATAAAAAGACCTCCCGGCCACAGCCGTCAAGTGTTCTTCTAAAGACAGCCGTGAGTCCAAGAGGACGCCTAAGTTGCGAGCCCTCTCCGTGGGGGGCAATGACTCATCCCCAATAGTCAGTGATGGCACCAATTGACTATATCGGGACGTCGGAAACCACAGCCACTCGGTCTTGGATGGGTTGAGCCTGAGTCTGTTCCTCCCCATCCAGATCCGTACAGCCTCCAGGCACTGGGACATCACTTTAAGGGCATCATTGGGGTGGTCTGGGGTGGAGATGTATAGCTGAGTATCATCAGCATACTGATGATACTTCACCCCAAAACCACGGATGATCTCACCTAGCGGCTTCACATAAATGTTGAACAGAAGGGGTGAGAGAACCGACCCCTGTGGCACCCCACATACAAGGGGTCTCGGGGTCGACCTCTGCCCCCCTGTCAACACAGACTGCGACCGATCAGAGAGAAAGGAGGAGAACCACTGCAACACGGTGCCCCCTACCCCTAACTCTTCCAACCGGTGCAGCATGATACCATGGTCGATGGTATCAAAAGCTGCTGAGAGGTCTAATAGGACCAGGATAGAGGAGCAACCCCTGTCCCGGGCCCTCCAGAGATCATCTACCAATGCGACCAATGCCGTTTCCGTGCTGTATCCAGGCCTGAAGCCCGACTGGAACGGATCTAGATAAGCCGATTCATCCAAGTACTGAGGAAGCTGTCGCGCTACCACACTCTCAACAACCTTCGCAACGAAGCGAAGGTTGGAGACTGGACGGTAATTAGCCAACACTGCTGGGTCCAGGGAAGGCTTCTTGAGGAGAGGCCTCACCACCGCCTCCTTCAAGGCGGCAGGGAAGACACCCTCTCTCAAGGAAGCATTTATAATCCCCTGGAGCCAGCCTCGTGTAACCTCCCGAGAGGCCAGCACCAGCCAGGAGGGACACGGGTCCAATAAACATGTGGCCGCGCTCAGTCTGCCCAGTATCTTGTCCACGTTTTCTGGAGTCACAGAATCAAACTCTTCCCAGGTAATATTCTCAAGACTTGCCTCCATCCTCCCTCCTGAACCTACCCAGTCAGAGTCCAAATTTTCCCGAATCTGAGCGATTTTGTCATACAGATATTGTACAAAGTCCTCGGCTCTACCCTCCAAGGGGTCCTCCCGCGCTTCCTGGTGGAGCAGGGAGCGGGTCACCCTAAACAGGGTGGCCGGGCGATTATCTGATGACGCAATAAGAGCGGAAAAATAGTTATACTTTGCCGCTTTTATTGCCACCAGGTAGGTCTTAATATGAGACCTTACCAGTGTTCGGTCAGATTCAGAACGGCTGGCCCTCCAACTGCTCTCCAGGCGTCTTTTCCGGCGTTTCATCTCCCTCAGCTCCTTGGTGAACCAGGGAGCCAGGTGAGATTGACGCCGGGTCAGAGGCCGCAAAGGCACGACCTGATCCAAAGCTCCAGCGGCCGCCCTATCCCAGGCAGCCACTAGATCTTCAGTCAAGCCGTGTGCCAGAGCCTCAGGAAATGGCCCAAGCTCCATCTGGAACCTATCCGGGTCCATCAGGCGCCTGGGGCGGAACCACCTCATCGGTTCCGCCTCCCTGCGCCGGGGTGTGGCGGTTCGAAGGTCAAAGCGAAGGAGGGAGTGATCTGACCATGACAAGGGCTCGATCGCTATATCCCCTATCTCGAGACCACTCAGCCACTGACCAGAGACAAAAACCAGGTCCAGCCTGTTTCCCCCCGTGTGAGTAGGGCCATGAACTAATTGGGTCAGGTCCATGGCTGTCATGGAAGCCATGAACTCCTGAGCCACCTCAGACGTCTCACCGACGGATGGCAGGTTGAAGTCCCCCATGACCATAAGTCTAGGGGTATCAATCGCCACCGCGGCTATAATGCTGAGTAGTTCAGGCAAGGCCGCTGCCACGTGGCAGGGAGCCAGGTACGTAACCAGCAGGCCCATCTGCACCCCATGACCCCACTTCACAAGGAGGGACTCACATCCGGCCGTCTGAGGAACAGTGGCCTCCCTCGGACTAAGACCCTCTTTAATGATAACTGCCACCCCCCCGCCCCTTCCCTGTGACCTTGGCTGATGAAATGCCCGGAAACCGGGTGGGCACATCTCTACGAGAGGGACTCCCCCCTCCTGGCCCAACCAGGTCTCCGTAATACCCACCAGGTCTGCTCCCCCCTCCTGAACAAGATCACAAATGAGGGGGGCTTTATTTACCACGGACCTGGCATTGCATAGCATCAGCCGAAGGCCCAGGGCCTGAGGGTCTGTGCCACCTGGGGAACGAGAAGAGCATTGGGGGCCGGAGTGTGCCACCGC